AGTTGTTGCCGTAATGACTTGTAATCAAATATGGCTGTTGCTGCAATAAAAAGTTATTTGCGAAATTGTTTAGAAGACGGCTGGAGGCAAGTTTCAAACTCCAATGTCTTGGATGCTAAATTTTTAGATAGTAGGGTAATTGCTTTTTTTTCAAGCCATAATGAAAATCATAGAAAGAGATAGCTCAAACACCAATCGCAATCTTTATTTCAATTGATCGTAGCGTTTGAGATCACTAGCTAATTACATTGAAATAGGTTATTATTTTTGATAAAATTTGTTTTGGGAGTTCAACTATATATTTATTATATATATGTTATATATCTAATTAATATATGTTTTATTCATAAAAATATAATAATGATATAATAAAATAATAAAAAGAATGGCAAATAATAAATAAAAATATAATAAGTATTATATGATATAGCTATATAAATGTAATATAGATAATATTATAAAAATAAAAGGATGAATATTTAATTTAACAAAATTTCAAATTCTTTTGTGTAATAAATATAGGTTGTTTTGCTAACAGCTACTTTATCTGAGATGAAATTAATTAAATATTTTATATAAACGTTAAACATAAATAGTTAGTAACCTTCAGGAATTTCAAGATTTATAAGTTCAGAATCTAAAAATAAATAAACAAATAAATTAATTAATTAAAACTTAAAAAACAAATCATTAATATTACTAATATTACAATTTATTACGTGCAAATACCTTTTATCAATTTACTAAGCTGATTTTCATAATCTGTTGTATTTATTGGTTTCGGAAGATTTGATGTTTTAAGAAGTCTACTAGTATAAATTGCTCCAGGATGTAATTTGTAATCAAGTGATGTTTTTGCATTTGATGCTAAAATATTATTTGTCATTTCTTCAGCTTTTTCAATTTGCTCAATATATTCGGGATGGGTATCTTTCATGAAACTAAAGCATACATCATGCCATTCTAATACATTAAGAAACAATTCTTTAGCAGTTGGTCTTTTTTCTGGCTGGGCATTCCAACACTGAATAATTAACTTGGTAATAAATTCTGGTATATATGATGGAATCTTTGGACGTAAACCTTTACAAATTTCTATTGCAAGCTCAGAATCATGTGGGATATTATAATAAGGTGGATATCCAGTTACTAATTCATATGCTATAATTCCAAAAGAATATATATCAGATGCTATAGTATATTTTTCCCCATATAAAACTTCAGGAGCAACATATGACATAACTCCATAAACTCCTTTAGATTGTGAACTTTGATTTGTTGATTTGCATAAACCAAGATCTGTAATATTTAAAAAATTGTCATTATATAAAAGGTTTCCTGGATGAAAATCATGATGCATAAAACCTTTTTCATGTAAACACATTAGTCCTCGACTAATATAAAGCAATGATTTTATTTTATGTTCCCATGTCATGCTTTTAAAATTATCTTTTAAATATATACGAAGGCAACCTGAAGATGCGAATTCCATTACCATAATATAATTTTGTGTTTTTGGTTCTTGAGAAATTCCCAAACATTGAATAAAAAATGTATTATCATCAATCTGAAAATTCATTTTAATCTGTTTTATATTTATATTATTTTTGGTTAAAATTTTATAGATTCATATTTAGTTTTAATTAATAAATAAAACTTACTTCTTTTAATAAATCATTTGTTGAATCAGATGATTTATTTAAACTTTTTAAAGCCACTTTTAGTAACTTTATACGATTCCATCGATCATCGGCAGTATTCCAACTCTCAATTTTTCCATCAAGCCAAATTGCTGAATAAACGGTTCCAAAACCTCCTTCAGCAATAAATTTTATATTTTTAAATCTATTGTATGGAATCCATTCAACTACCTTTAATGGTAAGTTTGCATCATATTGAAGATCTTGAATAAGTTTATCAATTTCGCTATTACCACTACTCCATTTTTTAAAATTATCTTGAAAATGTTTTGAATTGCATGTTTGACACCAATTAACTTTATCTATACGTAAACATTCTTGATTACATTCTTCACATTTTCTAAATAAAATTCGTTAATTAGTGGTAATTATAAATAATTAAAAATTACTATTAACATACCCTCCATTAAAATCACTTTAGTAATATAAATATAAGTATTTAAAAATATAAAATTAATAGATAATTTATCATAGCATCAAATAATTAATCATACAAACTGGCAATTAAGATAAAATAATTAATAGCTTGAAATATTTTTTAAATAAATAATTATTTGAACAAATACTTACAAACTATAAATTAAATATATATAAAATTAATATATATTTAACTTAAAATTATAATAATAATATGGGAATTTATAATTGTACACGAACGTTTGTACACGGGTATATAGAAAAGCCAGCCGATATCTCAAAATTTTGATTATGAAACCACCATTTGGCCTCTAACAAAAAAATTTTTCGTGAAATTTTGGTATAAGCTATTCTCCCACCCCTATCCAAATCCACCCTTACCCTAACCTTAGGCAACGTCTAACTTTTCGTTCTATCGAAATTGTTTTGATTTGCACGTTACACAAATTTGCAAATCAATTAATACCCGTGTATATACACTACGTGTAAGATTAGATTTTTTCTAATAATATATACTAAGAATTTTAATAACTATAATGATTGATTTTCGATATCCGTCACTACTAAACAGTTGATTAAAAGTCTCAGACCAGTGATGGTTATAACCGCGGCTCTGGCTATAGCCAACTATAGCCAACTATAGTCAATTACTGACTGGCTATGACTGGCTATAACCTAACCGAACCAATTCCTATTCAGAACACTTGAAAACTTCACATAACTAAAACTTGAACTATTATATCTAACCTCTATCCTGGTTATAGTTGCCGTCCAAACCTAACTAGTTTGGGACTTTGGGACTTTCTAAGGTATTAACCATTATTTGGGACTAGTT